CCATTTGTAGTTTAAGTTTTTCCCGTCTTCTTGTTTCTTCTTTAAAAAAAAAAAATTAATGAAACATAAAAAAACAAAAACAAAAAAAACAACACACTATTGTTGGGCCTAAGAGCTCAGCTGGATCATCAGAATGCTGATGTCGAACTGTGGGTTGGTCAAATTATGGTTTAAACCGTGGCCTGCCCTAGAAATAAGGAATGGATATCAGCCATTTTGAAATATTTTTTGTCGTAGACTCGAGGATACCTTCTAACCCCAAGTGAATGAATGTCAATCCTGGACACACAGATCTGACCCTAAATTACACAGAAACAAACCTAAACATGACTCATGTCTATCCTACACACACAGATCTGACCCTAAACCGCACAGAAACATGACACATGTCTATCCTATACACAGAGATCTTATCCTAAATTACACAGAAACAAAGCTAAACATGACACATGTCTATCCTACACACAGAGATCTTATCCTAAATTACACAGAAACAAAGCTAAACATGACACATGTCTATCCTACACACAGAGATCGTACCCTAAGTTACACAGAAACAAACTTTAACACGACAGGTACACGTTATTTTTTTTACAACGCTATTTAAAAAAATGTCTGCACACACCAGGCCAGTGTTGTAAGCATTTATTGATCATGTTTTATACGAAAACAGTTGACCATTGGTCATCAAGTCATGTTTGAACTACAGAGTATAACGGCCAAGCCTGCGTTTCACTGGTGTCTTGGGGCAGTGGGTTCCAACGAATCTTAAATGTTTACAATTCAACATTGATGACGAGCAAATGCTGCACACAAACGAGTGCAGTTTGAGTTGACAGAGGCGCTGCACATGAACTAGTGCAGTTGGAGTTGACAGAGGCGCTGCACATGAACTAGTGCAGTTGGAGTTGACAGAGGCGCTGCGCGAGAATAAGTGCAGTTTGAGTTGACATTAGCGCTGCACATGAACTAGTGCAGTTTGAGTTGACAGAGGCGCTGCACAAGAACTGGTGCAGTTTGAGTTGACAGAGACGCTGCACATGAACTAGTCTAGTTTGAGTTGACAGAGGCGCTGCACAAGAACTAGTGCAGTATTATTTGACGGAGGCGGCTACGATATTGTATTTTTTATTTATTGAATTTTTTCTGTTTCCATCCTACACTACCGGGCATTTATGCACCATGATTTTATTTTTGTCTGGCCTGAAAATAGAATAATAGATATCAATGTTCCGTAGCCTTGGGGAGATTTATGAAACCTTTCTAAGGAGACGAAACAAAGAGACAAACACTCTATCAGTGGAGTAACGTTAAGTGTGGGGGAGCGGGGTGGGACTGTCATTACGACGGTCCTTATAATGTAGTTCAGGGGTCTACAACTTTTTTTAAAACTATTTTTTTAGCGTTGTGAGTCATTTTATAAATGATTTCTGCTAAAGAAAGTGAAAATTCTTTTGAGGAAATGCAAATATTATTGGATTATTAGAAATAAAAATGTTTATTAAAAATGTTTCACCATTTAAACCAGTCATATTGATTCATTCCAAAGCGACTTGTCAATCGATGGTCTTGCAACACAGGTGTGATTTTAAACAAAATAAATTTCGTCTTTTTTTTTATTCCTAAAAAAACTGAAGGGGCTACTGGTTTGTGTGAGTCTGTTTGATACGACTGGCCATTGTTTCTTGTAAGCCTGGCACTGAATCGTCTCATGCCCTACTACGGTGAAGGGGTTACTGGTTTGTGTGAGTCTGGATGATACGACTGGCCATTGTTTCTTGTTGTAAGCCTGGCACTGAATCGTCTCATGCCCTACTACGGTGAAGGGGTTACTGGTTTGTGTGAGCCTGGATGATACGACTGGCCATTGTTTCTTATTGTAAGCCTGGCACTGAATCGTCTCATGCCCTACTACGGTGAAGGGGTTACTGGTTTGTGTGAGTCTGGATGATACGACTGGCCATTGTTTCTTGTTGTAAGCCTGGCACTGAATCGTCTCATGCCCTACTATTTGACGTAGCTTCCACAAACAGCCCCAAACTATCAGCTCACAGGTCTGCATGAAGACATCGCGCTACATGGCTTGACAAATAATTTAGGGAACAACATTAAACAAGGCACGCCAATGTCAAAGTAAAGAAATACATGTTTGACATCAGATCTGTGAAAATGCACATTTATTCCTATTTAGCCGCTGGTGCGCGTCCAGGAGCCTGCCTTTTTTTTTCGCCTGTGCCTCCCCTCGCGTGCCTTTCGCCGCCGGTTTGACTGGAACAGCAGCGATAAAGTTTTTGTTAAGCATCTCCAACGTCCCCATCAGAAGCCAACGCTTAGCCAAATATGTTTTTCTTCAAGGCAAGCTGACACCAGCTGCCGCTTGAGCTCGTCTTTGTCGATTTTTCTTTGAGCTCATATTTGTTGCTATCCATTTCACCACACAGCTCGCCATAGAAGACTGGTGTTTGGTGTCTCCCGTTATAGATAGATGTCCTGTCTAATACACCAGAGCATCACCTCAATGCTCTCCATAATGGCGTTTAACCACATCTCATTGGTTGGTATACATTCTTGTCTTTTTTTTCAGGATAGCCCTCGGACATCGTTGGTTATAGTTACTGGTTCCAGAGGTTTGACCCTCAGAATGAGTCTATCAGCATTTCATCCCCGTATCACCACAAGCACACCAAAGAAGTGTCTCGATTTAATTAAACACATGCCATTGAATTATTTACAGTAATATTTTATTTAGAATGTTTAAATATCAATAGTTCATTCACTCCCAGTGACGTAATAATACTGCAGTTCTAGTTAGGAAATCCCCATTTTACTTTCAAACAAACAAGACTTAACTGTCCTAGGACAAAACAGACGAGATGCCAACACTAAGCGAGGGTTGAATTTGAAATAAGATAACGTTATTTCCGTCATGTTCATGCAATCGTCACATCAAATCAGACATTCCCAACCAGGGTCTTAAACATCTCATCCTCTTAACAAATCGTTGCACGCCATGCGACGTAAGCCGAACTGCAGCAGACATCAGTGCAGCAGTCATAAGTAGAAAAACCACATTCTCCTTTCCAGTGTATAACTAATTTTATATTATTTTCACACTTTTATTATCATTAGCCAGACTTTGAGAATAGCGTTTTAGCGAATGAAAGAAACTTAAGAATATGCATGAAATACACATGCTCATAGATGCATTAGCCGTATCAATATACATACATGATTAAATGTTCACATATCTATTATGCGTATAAAATTGGACATCACTGTCACACAGCCTATACACGACATATTTTAAGCTAGGTACACAAAAAAGGCGCATAGCAATGTCCATGAGCTCACAACAGTCCATAAACATCATTACTGAATAATTACAACGGTTTGTTCAATGTCATTGACCGGTATCAAGTCCCATGTCTGAATGAGCCTGACCTTGTGGGAGTGGGATATGCATGCACCGATGTGGTTTAAAAGGGGTTAAATAGTCCTAAATCCCAACCGTAGCGTAGATGGCCTCTGTCTTTTTGGCTTTGCTCTTAGTGAATCTGTCTGTTTGCTGTAGGATCCAGTGGCCGTAGGCAGAGCCGTCTCCTGGACCCTGCAACCCTTGCGGCTGGAAAGGTGGGAGGGGGGGGGCGCCCTCGGATATTTAAAGGGCCCTAATTTGTGATTTGGAAAAATTTAATCAACTTTGCATGCAGGGTGCACTAAACCGAAGAGTGGCCCCGGGAAAGGGGGGTGCAAAAGTCACGCGGCTTTGGCTGTACGTCATGGGTCAAGCGTCGAGGACAGATGAAGGATACGGGTTGTTAAGACTCAGGTGGTGGGATGGAAGGTGCTTGAATATGTTTTTATAGGTGGGACATTTCTAGTGTGCTCATCTTGGTGCCATATTCCTCTGACTGGAGTTTCTAAGACATAATTTGTTTAAATAGAATGTTAAATTGTCATCCAGTTTCAATTATCAATGCTCGACACGCATGTAGAGTAATCAATGCATGACATGCGTGTAATCAATGTCCGACACACGTGTAGAGTCATCAATGCCTGACACACGTGTAGAGTCATCAATGCCTGACACACGTGTAGAGTCATCTTCTATAGTATTCTTCATTACACGTGTAGCATGTTCTATTTTTGGACACTTGCTGCAAAGGGCTCAGGGTGGGAACTCATCGTCCATTGACAGGTTTAAACAAAACAGGATACCATTATTATTACGGGGCCGAGTCCTCACTTTCTTCCGAGGGAGTAGCTCAGGGCAGTCCAGCGAAGCGCGCACCCAGATCATCATCGAACGCCTAAAACAATGTTCCGCTCATCAGACGCAGGTGGTCGGCCTCGGTTCTTCTATCGCCGGTCCACGGGGTGATTACCGTACTAGTGCACGTCACTTCGTGCCTTTCAAACGCCTTTCGTTAACGGACCAACGGTCAAGTATAAATTCATCCCCAATCCGAAGGCTACCGGACCAGGAGGATAGGACCAGTAAGGATCTCCCCAGGTTTGATCTACCTTTCCATTATAGTTCCAGAAACGTGTTGCATGTGTGTAGCGTGGATCTACACAAATGCAGAGTAACACCGTCAACTGTACATGTCCTCGGCCGTGGGTTCTGTGCTGTGACTGCTGTGCACGCTGTGCTGGCTGTACCTCTCACCTTTAGAGCTTTCCACTTTACCCTGGCTGCTGTGCCCACTGTGGCTGTGACTGTGACCGCTGTAACTTTCGCTGATGGAGTACTTGCTCCTGAAGATCTTCTTCCCGCCCTCCTCCAAGATCGTCCCCGTGTTGGCCACGAACCCGTTTTTCCGGAGCGGTATCCCGTTGAGCTCCCGGTCCCTGAAACTCGATATCTTCCCTTTGCCCAGCTGATTGAGGAAGTATAGCTCCCGGTAGCTGGTCATGCTCGACCTGGATCCGGTCTGCGGACGGGACGAGAACCTGATGACCGACCTGGCCGAACTTCTCGAGATGCCCCTCTGTCGCGTGCAGCAGAAGATCTGCTTGTAGGTCCTGCAGAACTTTGTGCTGAACGCCATGTAGATGACAAAGTTCACCGACGAGTTGACCGTCTCCAGAAAATACGTGATGTTCCCGAAGACGTCGTAAATGTTACTCTGCGAGCCGAACCGCGAGTACTGCTTGTAGATCTGGTTGACGATGCTGTGGATGGCCCCGGGCAGGATGCAGATGAGGAACACGAGCGACACCATCAGCAGCATGAGCGTGATGCGGTTCTGTTCGTACGAGGCCGAGCCCCCGTTGGACATGGACCGCCGGAACGACCACGTCCGGCGGATGGCGCAGGCGATGAGGATGTTGACGAGGATGAGCACGAGAATGGGGATAAGGCGGAAGACGACGTTGAGGACGTTGCCGTAGACGAGGTAAAAGACGGTGTTCCGGCCCAGCTCGCTGGTGCCCATGGTGTACACCGTCTGGTTGTTGACCGTCTTGTAGTAGCCGTTGTACTTGAGCGCCATCGGGATGAAGACGATGGCGGTCACCAGGTAGATGAGGATGATGCAGGTGGTGGTCATCACCCTGCCGCACATGACCTTCGCCTTCATGGGGAAGTAGACGGCCACGAGCCTCTCGACGCTGAGCATGGTGGTGAGGCAGGTCGTTATCCTGGCGGTGACGACGCTGCCGTAGGAGCCCAGCACCGGGAACGTCACGGCCCTGTAAGTGATAGAAAACAAACATGTGATGGAATATGTGAGGTTGAAATACCGGGGTTACCGAGTACAATTGAGGTCCATAGCTAAGTGGACGTCCTCGCCCTAAACTCCCCCAATCTTGGAGAGTCATCGAGAGTTTAAAACTGTGGGACGTGTCTCTAATGGGGATTGTCCAACTTTTAGAGCGTCGAACTTCTTATTTTAAAATTGCTCAAAAATGTGTGACTGCATGTTTCGTAATTCTCAATTATTGGCTTTATGTTGCTTCAAATAGTTGAGAATCCCTGACTTATGAGCAATACGACCTAACACTAGATTGAAGGCCTTTTAAAGTATCCCTGACTTATGAGCAATACGACCTAACACTAGATTGAAGGCCTTTTAAAGTATCCCTGACTTATGAGCAATACGACCTAACACTAGATTGAAGGCCTTTTAAAGTATCCCTGACTTATGAGCAATACGACCTAACACTAGATTGAAGGCCTTTTAAAGTATCCCTGACTTATGAGCAATACGACCTAACACTAGATTGAAGGCCTTTTAAAGTATCCCTGACTTATGAGCAATACGACCTAACACTAGATTGAAGGCCTTTTAAAGTATCCCTGACTTATGAGCAATACGACCTAACACTAGATTGAAGGCCTTTTAAAGTATCCCTGACTTATGAGCAATACGACCTAACACCAGATTGAAGGCCTTTTAAAGTACTGATGATGAGACTTTTTAAAAATATCATTCTAACTTATAATTTTGTTTTCTTTTTTATACGCTATAGCAATCTGATCTATTTGTGTGACTATTTGAAGGTAGTAAATACGCCAACTAAATAGTCAATTTTAAAATTAAAAAAAAAATTGGGGGTGGGGGGCGTCTTTTAAAGTGCCTCTACCATAGAAAATGAGAAGCCCTCTGTAGCCCGAAGCTACGCTCTGACCGTAGTCCTTCTGGCCTTAAGTGTGGAGACTCTACTTCCTCTAGATTATAGAGCATTTATCAACCCAACTCGTCCCTCGTTGAAGGACACCTCCAATTGTGTGAGCTTGAAGCCATTCAAGTATTTCCGCAGTTCGTCTTCCGTTGAGGTCTCCATGTTTAGACCCTCACCCGTTGAAATACTGAACCGTCTAAATATAGCTTGAGATTCACGTTGCCATACCTCCATGGCTTGGTTTACGGCAAGACGACTATGTCTGCAGGCCAGCCCTGCTCTAACAAAGCCAATGCCATTTAGTGAGACCGTCCGAGTTTCGTTGTCGTTATTTATCACCACAGTTGAAGACAGTTTGAAAGCTCTGAATTTCCTCCTCTCCTCCCCCCCCCCCCCCCCCCGGGGTGGTTTTTATTAATGAGCTTCTCCACCCACTGTGGTTTATTATGTTCTCATCACGAGTTTATTTGTTGAGAATTTACACGGATGAAAATGGATTATACATAGATCTCAAAGGCTCATTTCTGAAGAGACTGGGAACTTTCCTGTATCAAAATAGAGATTTGTATTCGGCAGCCGCCATTTATTTACACCAATCCGCCAAAACTTGGCTGTGTTGCTGTCAAATCTACTTTCCCCAACCTGGGCAGCTGGCACCACCAGAGCACCCCCCACCCCCACCCTCCCCAGGAGGTTCAAAGCAGCATTTCGGGGATGCGAGAGAAAAAAAAAGTGATTTTTAACAACGGAAGAGCTATTGCCTTTTGTTGTACTGGTATGATAAACATGTGTAGGTATTTTTTTAATCGCTTCATTTCACATTTTAATATATGAAATAAGTCGCAAGTTCGATTTATAGTTAACTTTAAAAAAAAAAAATAGTTGTCACTTTCTATTTCTAATGCCTTGTTACTTTTAAAATAAAAAAAAATATTTAAAAATGGGTGGTGGGGGCGTAAGACTTTATCAAACAATTCTTGGGGCATGGAGAATATAGAAAATAGATTGATCGGGCAACCTTAGCCTACTGGTTACCTCAAGTATTCGCCGGCTGCCGGGTTCCTCTGGTTGTAGAGTTTGAGGAATGAGAAGTAGAAGGCGTGCAGCAGGAAGAGCAGGTCGGAGACGGCCAGTGCCGCCAGGACCATGTTGGTGGCGTTCCTCATTCGGTGGTGGACCAGCACCCTCAGGCTCAGGACGTTCCCGATGGACCCGAACACCGAGAAACACGGGATGAGCACCATGACGAATATGATAGTGGTCTGTGGAGATATATTTTAGAGCATGTGTCAAGTGAGGACAATCTTTGTGTTTCAGTGATGGTCGTGGANATATATGAAATAAGTCGCAAGTTTGATTTATAGTTAACTTTAAAAAAAAAAAATAGTTGTCACTTTCTATTTCTAATGCCTTGTTACTTTTAAAATAAAAAAAATATTTAAAAATGGGTGGTGGGGGCGTAAGACTTTATCAAACAATTCTTGGGGCCTGGAGAATATAGAAAATAGATTGATCGGGCAACCTTAGCCTACTGGTTACCTCAAGTATTCGCCGGCTGCCGGGTTCCTCTGGTTGTAGAGTTTGAGGAATGAGAAGTAGAAGGCGTGCAGCAGGAAGAGCAGGTCGGAGACGGCCAGTGCCGCCAGGACCATGTTGGTGGCGTTCCTCATTCGGTGGTGGACCAGCACCCTCAGGCTCAGGACGTTCCCGATGGACCCGAACACCGAGAAACACGGGATGAGCACCATGACGAATATGATAGTGGTCTGTGGAGATATATTTTAGAGCATGTGTCAAGTGAGGACAATCTTTGTGTTTCAGTGATGGTCGTGGATTTGTTTGAGAGTATAACATTTGTATAGCTGTGTAGTGATGGTAAATGTCTGAGACAAGCAAAATTTTAACATTCTGCAGTTTCAAGTAAAGCTGCGATACTCTGCTGGCGTATATTACACCCTTTGCTAAGCTTGTGTTGTTGACACAAATACAATTTGTTCAACCCTCTGTCACATTGATTGCTGACACCAACGCTACTGTTAGACCATGACAAAACTGATGACTCATGTGCCTCTTTAACTCGTGTCACACGATGCACATTTTAGTGCCGTCTTCATTGGTCCCACAAAATTAAGATCTACCTATCGCAGCGGTTCTCAACCCGTGGGTCGCGACCCCTTGGGGGGTGGGTTGCACGACCATTTCCCAGTGGTTGCCTAAGACTATCTGAAAACACATATCATTACAGCTATGAAGTAGCAACGAAAATAATTGTGTGGCTGGGGGTCGCCACGACATGAGAAACTATATTAAAGGGTCGCGGTATTAGGAAGGTTGAGAACCACTGACCTATCGAGTTCGACAATCAACTGTTGCTTAACACGTTTGGCTGTATCAACGGATGCCTGATAGTTTTCTCTATGAAAATATCCCCATAAATCCCCTTAGTTTAATTACATAACAGTCTCACTAACTTGAGCTGTGGCTTTAATTACATAACAGTCTCAGTAACTTGACCTGTGGCTTTAATTACATAACAGTCTCACTAGCTTGAGCTGTTGCTTTAATTACATAACAGTCTCACTAGCTTGAGCTGTTGCTTTAATTACATAACAGTCTCACTAGCTTGAGCTGTTGCTTTAATTACATAACAGTCTCACTAGCTTGAGCTGTTGCTTTAATTACATAACAGTCTCACTAACTTGAGCTGTGGCTTTAATTACATAACAGTCTCAGTAACTTGAGCTGTGGGTTTAATTACATAACAGTCTCACTAACTTGAGCTGTTGCTTTAATTACATAACAGTCTCACTAGCTTGAGCTGTTGCTTTAATTACATAACAGTCTCACTAACTTGAGCTGTGGCTTTAATTACATAACAGTCTCACTAGCTTGAGCTGTTGCTTTAATTACATCAACAGTCTCACTAACTTGAGCTGTGGCTCGGTACAGTTGGGTCAGTGTCCGGGGGTGGTGGTGGGGGGGGGATAAGATGACGTCACCAGCTTTGAATTTTTATATGAAATGACGAAATTTTTCTGCGGAAAGTGGGGCATGTCACGACTTGTGCTTCCCGGTTGCTGTGTTGTGGACGATTCAATGATATCATGCTGCTGTGAGCCCAATGCTGAGGTGGTGAATGTATCAACTCATTAACCCACCGACCCGTTCATTAACAGTCTGCACGGCAGTTAAGGTTGAACTTTTTCAAAAAAGCCGCATTTCAAAAGTAATCGATGCCCTCTCATATCTACATCACTCGTTTAGACGCGTTCACCTTGTGAACTGTGTACTCGTTAAAGCCGCGACAGCAGCCCCGGAGACACAAGTCCAAGAGACTTGGGTTTTCCCTGTCTCTAAATGATGAGTGGGATTATACGTCTGGGTCAAGATCGTAAACCAATGGGTTGCCGTGTTTATTGGCTAGTGGGAAAGATGTTAAGACCCGTAGATATGTGTTTGTCTTTTTTTTCCCTGAAACTCGTACGACTGAGTCATTAACAGACTCTCAACGGTTCTTAAGTATATGCCTCTCTAACAGGTGACGTCTAGGGGATAACGAAACACAGGGACGTGTCTCGACTCACCCCACCCTCTATTTCAGACACCCGTTCTTTTTTTTTTTTTTGGGGGGGGGGGGACTTAAGGCTTTGTTAAAGGGTTCCCTATAGTATATGCGTTATGTTTCTTACGTCTAGGGGATAACGAAACACAGGGACGTGTCTCGACTCACCCCACCCTCTATTTCAGACACCCGTTCTTTTTTTTTTTTTTTGGGGGGGGGGGAACTTAAGGCTTTGTTAAAGGGTACCCTATAGTATATGCGTTATGTTTCTTTCCATGACTCTGCGTCTGCTTTACCGTGCAGTCCTGATGGGTGAACCCGCGACCCTGGGATAACGCCAGGGAGATAGTGTGAGGGTTTAAATGTGACATAACGTTGTGCACTTTAGCTGAGATCGAAAACGTCATGAAGTACCCGCGGGAAAGAATCTGTGCCGAGATTGGGACCAGCACGAGACAAGGAAAACCAGTGAAATTACGTCTCAGTTCACATTTTTAGACCTGTTATAGCATGGAACATAGTGTGTCTGTCTATTAGGAGAATTAGTATTTCGGTCCAGTGTATGTAATATCTAGACCACGCCCTCGGTAACTCGTCAGTAGCTCGGGTGAACTGGGGCGCCGAACAACCTGAAAAAAATCCCGCCTTGCCTTAAGTTTGCGTATTGAAAATTTTGGTCACGGGCCGCTTGGGCACTCTCGGGGGCCGCTTGGGCACTCCCTCTACTCGACCTGTTCTGTCCCCACCACACCCCCGCCTCAGAAGGGGCTTGTTATATACTGATCCTGGCTATATTTGTAACTGTGACCATTTGTAGTTGGCAGGATTTCAGTGGCACCCGACACCATAACATAGGCTCGATAAAGTTATGCATTGTGGTGTCCTTACATCTTTATTCACTGTTATAAAAACATTCCTTTAAACTTGTTTGCAGATTCTATTGTTTTATTTCACTCCTTTCTGTGTGTGTGTGGGGGGGGGGTCATTTCCGGGGAGCGGCCACGCGCCACCGTAAGGCTGGTGTCTCTGGTCTACAGTTCTAGTGATCACTTGACACACTTGAAGCCTAGACTGCAGCATGTTGACGTGGAACTGATATGGTCAATGTGTGTGTTACGTCTTGGTCAGTGCAGCACTGGGTCACGGCACTCGTGACGCAAGGGATCCACCGCAACTACAACAGGGTGTGTGCAGTTGTTGTTGTTTGTTTTTTGTTTTGTTTGTTGTTGTTTTTTTTTAAGCTGATCTCCTGTCTCGTAAATATTAATGTGTAGTTAATGGCTGCAATTGTGATGGGTTAGGGCTGCGGCCCGAGAGTGTTTTGTTTACTATTAAAAGTATCTGAATAATCCTGTGGAGCCCGGAATAAGACAAAATTGTTCTGAATCGTGACATTTGGACAAATACACTACTGACCTTGTCCATGACGTGTTTGCTGACCATCTGCAAGGGAGATTCCTCTATCGGTCTCCTCCTCTGACCCACTGGAATCCGGATCGCCTGGTCGACGTCCCTGGTCAGGTCTGAGCTCGATATGTTGAGAACGAAGGAACTGTCGACCAGACGCACCATGGCCTCGGTGATGGTGGATGAGGTGGGGGTCACGCTGGTGTTGACCGTTCCGTAGCTGTAAGGTAGCAGGACGTGCCCGGTGATGTTGAGCGACATCTCGGCCAGCAGGATGCCGGAGAAGTTTACTGGGTCGGTAACGTCGGTGTAGATGTCGTCACTGCTGGGCACGTCCACGTCCGTGTAGACAAAATTTTCTGTGTAGAAGATTGGCACAAGGCTACTAAAGTATTCCATGGGGTCCCAGCAATGTCGATGTCATTGGAATTCTCACTGTTATAGATTGGCACAAGGCAACTTAAGTATTCCATATGGTGCCAGAAATTTTGGGGGGTTTTGAAATTCTCACTGTTATAAGTTATAGATTGGTACAAGTCAATTTAAGTATTCCATATGGTCCCAGCAATGTAGGTTGTTTTGAAATTCTCACTATAATAAATTGGGTATTGGTTACTAAATTATTCCATACGGTGCTGGTGGTAATCCGTACATCAAGATGAATTTGAGTTGTACAAAGCCTTTGTTTTGTAATGAAGTTGAAAGGGGTGTCAATTTCGTTCTCAAATTTAGAAGCTATTGTCTCTCATTAAACTACAAGTTCCAGAGACCACATTCGTTTATTTGTATTGATTTGTCCTCCTGCAACGCCAAGATATTTTGTTTGGAACTCTCCGTGCGACGGCGGCGATTGGGTCGTAACGTAAATTTCTATACGCCACAATCCGTCCCATGCTTTTCTATTGAACGGCTACGGGTAAGAGTTACACCCCTGAATGACGCCAACGTTGTTTCTCTTTCCTCTCGTACGGGGGTTCGTGTCTTGTCGGATACTGCCTGGAAACATCGCGTTGTTGTTTTAATATGGAAACATTTTTTTGCTCCGATGCTGTATGTACGCGCTATTTCTGTTTGGTCCGAAGGTCACACGCACAGTTGTGTTGGCCGTGCATGTCTGTTGCGCCAAAACATAAGTGGCCAGAGAATGGGCCCGTTCTCGCCTTGATGGGTCAATATATCAGGGAAAAGATATTAGTGTGGCTTGGCTTTTTACGTTTCACGTTTGGAGAGGTTTGCTTGAATGAAAGCGGAGATTCCAATCGAACATGGAATAAATATGTAAATTTACCTTTAAGATGTGCCCCCGAAAGCTGACATTTCCAACATTGGGATTTGTTTATATTTTAATTCTTAATATTCTTTGAAAAACTGACCGGGCCAGAGAGCTAGTTGTTGTGCTGTTCTGTCACCACTGTACAGAGTTGTTGAGCTGTTCTGTCACCACTGTACAGAGTTGTTGAGCTGTTGACATGAAATCAATTAACGCCGGCCCTGTGGATGGTTGCGTGTTGTTTGGGTCGCACCGTATACACACAAAATATCCCGAGCGTCTTTGGTCCAGCATCCCATCAATTACACTACAAGTGTGCGCCTACTTCAACCATGTCTGAACACACTAAATGGATGACGTGTCTGTTCAACTAATTGATCTCAGGCTTGATTGGGGGGGGGGGGGTCTTAAGAACGCGATACTTGACACAATAGAGTCGGGGCTCATTAAGACACATCCGTCATAGCGTGGGTTTAAATCAATAAAAGTGTGCACTTCCCAGCATGGGTTGGCAAGTTCCAGATGTAAAACCTGCTTTAACCGCAAGTCCTGGGCGGATCATACAACCCCTGGCTTTAACGCGTGCACGTCCTGTTTGTTGATCTATGCAAATGAGCCTCGTGCAGCCAATGCTGGCTTTCAATTCTGTCAAGCAAAGAAATAGCAATGTTAAATTTGGATGACATTAATGAGGCGTTGCTGTGGGACAGGAAAGAAGGGGAGACAAGCACATGCTGAGTATGCGCACGTTTGATAACCCCGCCGTTAAAGAATATTTGAGAAAATCATCTGAAATAAATTCTATCTGAATTATCGCAGCCCTGAAATTCATGACGTAAATACTGATTTAATCGTGTATCTATATATAATTTAATTATCTACTTCGTTGTCAAACATTTTCAATTATAATTACCTTAGCAGCCGTTATTGTTTTATTTACATTTACGTCACAGTACGAGGTATCTGTCAATGCGTCGTAGAAGGGGTCTCAACTGACGTGTGCCGTGTGTTTTATTTAAACTGCCATTTGCATGCTCGCCATCACCCCCTTATGTCATGCTTGTGCTGCCATCGATCCGCACGTGTTACGATTCTTCGTTGCTGTTGTTGTTCTCTCCCCCCCCCCCCCCCCCCCCCCCCCCCCCCCCCCCCCCCCC